CTGGGTGTTATGCACAAACAATGAATCATGGAACACTACATCAAAAACTAATGATGTAATGTATGGTGATTAACATAACAATAAAATTAAAAAAAATAAAATAAATAAAATTAAAAAAAAAAAAGTTACTGGTACCTCCATTTGGCCCTACAGTGAGAGTTCATCCCTCAAAAGTCTGATGCACTTCTTTATGAAATCTTCAACATCCTATTGTCCCATCTCTTTAAGAAAGGAGGCCACTGAGGTGGTGAATTTGAGTCCTACTTACAGGTGTTTGAAAGCAGCAGAACAACTGTGTGAGGAAGGGGTGATTGCGAGCCAAGGACAGGATCCTTTTTTCCGTCATGGTGCATTCCACATCATCATCCTGCAAGATCACGTCCTTCTTCAGCACCTTCACAGCATAGAGGTCTCCTGTTTCTTTTATTCTCGCAAGCATCACCTGTGGCAAAGCAGGAGAAGGAAGCACAGGCATGAGAACTCTTGAGATTCTTAGAGGGTGGGAACACATGGGGCAGAATGAGCCTGGCACTTGGAAAGTATGAGCATGAAACATACACGCACACTCAAACACATACATGTAGCATGCTTACTTTAACCCAGATACCTCAGAAGCCCGGACTCACCTTCCCGAAGCTCCCCTTCCCCAACACTCGGATGAACTCAAAGTTGTCGATACCAGGTCGGCTGGAAGAATCAACCCCGATCCCATTTCCTTCTTTGGTGTTTTCCCTGCCCTGTCTTCTTAGAGTTGACCTGGAAACCAGCTTCTGCAAAGAAGAGTAGGCAAACAGGGAGTCAGAAGTCACAGCATGGGCATGAAGCATTTATGGATGGAGAAGACCTTATTAGCTGCCCCAACTCCAACACAACAGATGGGGAAAGATCAATTCAGCTGGACATGTGATCAAGATCTGCCATTCAAAACTACACAGTACCAGCTCCTGATCTGTGCTCACTGTATTTGGAAAAGAATCATTTTAAAATATATCCCAGCCACCGAGAGTTTCAGTTTTAACTCAAATGGGAATGTATAAAACACCAACGCCTTAGTCTGGTCCCTCCAGTGGCTTGCGGTGGCTTTCCACAGGATGGTCAGATTCCAAGAGCGCCACCTGGTGTCCACTTCGTTCAAAGAGCGGTTTTCGCATCTGCTCAAAGGATCCATACCAGGATGTGAATGAACGAAGCAATATTTATTACACAATATTTAAAATTATATAAGAGAAATAAAAATTAATATAAAAACTAGAATAATGAACAAATGTATGGAGGATAAAATTTTAAATACTTCTAATCTTATGAGGTCCGCCTCAAAAAATAAAAAATAAAAGCCATTACATATACACACATCTATCTTTACACTTGATTTTTAAAAATATAATAAAATTGTGATTTCATAACACACATTTTTATTTAACACTTTGTCATGTGTATTTTCCATATCCTTCAAGAACATGAGTGTTAAGGGCTGCCCAATATTGTTTTATGGTATACCACAGTTTATTCATTAATTCCCCTGCTTATTGGAAACAGGTTATCTCCCATCTTCTGCCAGTTTAAATAACAGCATCATGAACATCCTTGCATGCTAATCTTCAAAGCAGGGTGATTAAGAATCTAGGCTCTCAAGGAAGCTGCCTGGATTCAAATCACAGCTCAGTAACCTAATCCTGTAACTCTGGGTAAATTACCTACCCATCGTCTCTGTGCCTCAGTTTCTCCTAACAAAGAGGATGGGATAGCACCTGCCACACAAGTCATTACGAGGAATGAATAAAAGCACATAAAGCACTTAGATCGGTGCCTGGCACATTCAATACACATGAACTGAGCTGCTGTCATCATCATGATCATGAGCATCATCTATTTTCTTACGATAACTTTCTGGAAATGCAATCTTTTGGGCCAAAATGTAAATCTTGAAGACTCTGGATACACTGTCTGCTGGCCCTCTAGGGAAGTTGACCACCAGCACAATGAGAGCTCCAGCCTCACCATACTGAACCGGAAGGAGGCGAGGCCTCCTCCGTGGGTAACCGCATCTCACTGGTCCAAGCCCAGCCACAGCGAGGGAGCTCTCTGACGGCAAGATGACTTGCAGATGTCCACCTTGGGACATTTATAAGACAAACTACCCCTGGGCAACAGGTCAAAAGTCAACGTTCTGAAGTTCTTGACCTATTTAGCTGAAAAACCCCAGCTTATCTGGAACAACTTCTAAGTAATATTTTCAAACAAACAACAACTGTGCAATTGCTTGAAGCTACAAGGCTTTGACTTACTCAACCCAATAAAACAGTGATTACAGATATAAAATGGATCACCTTAAAAAAACCAGTTGTTTTTAGTAGTTTCTCCCTCCAGATCTCCGATCATAAATATTTCAAAGATAGAAAAACTTTACTAGCTTGAATCTCACTTCCTCCACTTAAATACTTCCCCTGGTTGGGCTAGAAAACTTTAAGCCAGTATTTCTCAATCTTTTTTTTTTGTAACCCATTCTTCTCTTTTGCTAGACTCAAGATTCTGTTTCATGTTCTGCTGTCAAATGACAGGTAATTTTGGCTTTTCCATTTTTAAATATCATAACATTAAAGGTTGTTGGCTCAAGTGACAAATGACAAGTGGCATTGTCCATTCTAGAGCTTGTGCCACATGGTCTATCTTATTCCCATGACATTTTAGGAGCCCTGGTGCAGGCTGAAATCCTTAATCCGTGCCCTTTGGGAGCAGCCGTCCCACGCACTAGAAATCCCCTTCCTGATATCAGCATCCTGCCTTTCTGTCCATGCTTAGACATTAGACTTTGCTGATGCTTCCCTGAAATAAGGGAATACAATTTCAGTCCAAATCCCTAATCAGCCAGTAATAAGGAAATGGGGTGGTGAGTACGGACATTTTCTGGATGACCAAGAACTTGACAGTGATTGTGCTTCCCTAAGTACCCAGAGATATTTAACAGTTAAGTCTAGTATTTTCCTAAGCCGGATATGAAGCTACACCTTTCAGAAACCACAACAGGAGTCATGGCTCTTTCCCAGCCCGGAAGGCAGCAATAGGACGCAGGCCTGGGAAGTGGTCGAGGCTCTAACGGTCAACAGCGAGTGGAGGTCACTCAGGGAGGCTGCGAGACAAAACATGCCCAAAGCAAAGGACAACTCCACCCACTCCCAGGAGCCGAGAGGAAGGAACTCCTGTTTGTCGCTGAACTTGAGAGATAAATTCACAATCCATAAACAAAAACTGCAGAACAGTGAGACTCCAGAGCTCGGGAGAATCTCAAGAGACCCTCACGTTCAACCCCGTTAGAGTGGAGGGAGCTGAGGCCCGTAGCTGCTGGTCATCTCAGCTGCTGGGTAACCCAGGGCCCTGGAATCCAGAGCTTCACCACACCACACTGACAGGAAGCTGCTTTAAAAAAAAAAAAAAAAAAAAAAAATCCCTCTTCTGCTTCCTGCTACATCTGCATGCTTGTTATTTCTTGTCATATAATTATATAAAAAATCTTTTTTGTGGAACAAAATGGTCTTAAAAAAAATACAATAAATCTGTTTATTGTGTTTGCTGAGATGAGGAGCTTTGCTTATGCCGCAGGCACTCATTCGGACTCATCCCATCTGAACAACTTCTAAACTACAATACATCGAAGAAAGCCAAGTCTCACCGAGGTTGGAGAAATATTTCCGGGCTGGAGGCCCATCCCAGCCAGGGTCTTGGCGAGCTCCACCGCGTTGACCCCACAGTTCGGGGCTACATTTGCCTGACATCGGATGTGGACGTTCATCTTACAGACTGGAGGGGGGAAGAGAAGGGAGTCCACGTTCAGGAAGGAGCCAAGTCAACATATGCTGCAAAAAAGAGCTTTAATCACCTGAAAGACTAGGACAGGGGAATGATCCAGGCTTGGATGCACTCAAAGCAAACCCTGACGTTTGTCTCATTGCTGCTTTATGCAGTAGCAGCACGGAGCCTGGCATACTGACGAATAATACATTTCAAATCCACTTTTTTCCCTGTTGACTTGATGAAAGGCATTCACCTAAATCATGTGTAATAGTCATTGCCGACTTAACAGCGTGATTCAATATAGAAATCAAAACGTTCATCATGGCGACATTTCAGTCAATTAACTAACAAGGAAGCATGTCAGCTGACTGTATGCTTTTCCTCGTATCACTCAAGAAAGGTAGCCATCTAAATGCCACATAGAAATCGCTGTTCAAACAGGATGGAGATGGTGTTTCTGAGAGAAAAACCTCTAAGTGAAGCTTGCTTTCTGAGTATTGTTGTGGTTGGGGAGCCCTCCCAGCCCTGGGCACAGCATCCTGTGGGGCTGTGGGTCTCAATGTTTGCAGCCTGTGGTTCGAACTACTTCATGGGGGAGAAAAGCGAGGTTTTTTTTCTTTAAAGGTCAAAGTAAATGGCAGTTGGAAGAGGAGAAGCAAGCTACGTTCCTGGTGCATAGGAAATGGACTTGGGATGATGAAGGGACCCAGGGTTTAATCAGCAGGAAGTTCTGACGCAGTTTCTTTACATGGGCCCTGCTGATGGGAGGAAGAGATGAAATAGCAGGCAACAAATTCCTATATCTGGAGTGTCAACCCATCTCTGGAAGCATGCCTGGATCCAGGTTTGGGGGGGTGGGAGGGGTCTGAATGTATGTGATTTAGGGTGCCTCTTTAAGAAAAAGAATATCCAATCAAGAGGAGAGCTCTGGAAGGTGCCCTTGCAAGGGAGGGACCCTGAGGCTGAAGCTTCAGTAGCTCCTCATGGGAAATCCCCCTCAGGAAGATGGGTACAGAGACACACAAGCCTGCAGTGCCCTTGCTAAAGTACCAGTGACAAAAAAAGCAAAAAGTGCAGGAGGTAGATCACTGTCTGTGTGCGACACCCCAGGCCACGAGGGACAAGAACAACGTGGGGCAGCCCCATGCACGGCTCTGCATGTTAGCAACAACTATACAAAAGCAGAAAGTGGCCTCTGTGATGCAACCCATGCCCAGGGGAGACCATCCAGCTTAAGGTCAAGCGGTGCCTGAACCAAAGCTATGCACAAGCTGGTTGCTGTTTGGATTGAAAAAGAATTACTCCATGTGTCTAGGAAAAAAGAATTAGGAAATGATGTTCTCAAGAGATGAGTTTGCCCTTCTTAAAGACAAGTGGCTTGTCCCTTTTTGTCAGCAGAAGCAGGCTTGGTAAGGGCAAGCAGTTGATGGACGTTGTCCAGCTGCATGGACATCAACTCTGCCTCCCGCAGTGAGTCAGGATTTATCTAAAGCTTCAGGCTGAAATTCGCGTGTATTTCTGCAGGGAACCGCACCCCAAGACAGCCGGATTGTTACAGCAACACCCCATGGGAGAAGACTCAGCAACTCCCCAGCTCCTAACAGGACGGGAATCACCCCTTACTCTCAGACCCTCTGCTAAAGCAAAAGCTCCAAACTCAGGCTGCCCTGGGCACAGTTAGTGACGTGCAAGTCCATGGCCAGAGGTGAAACATCCTTCACCCCACCTACCTCTCCAATCTCTGGCGGTCTCTTTGAGAAGACCCAGGGCAGCTCTCGTTGAGCTTTGACTCCATTCCTGCTTATTTCTGGTGAGGTCACCAGACCCACTCTCCTGCCAGTTCTTACTCATAACCGAAGCCTCTCTCTTGGCCACCTCACCTCCTACCACCTTCCATTTCTGACCAAGATCCCATTTTTCCCTCTTGCAAATACTTATGAAAATACACAGCAACTAGCAGGCCCTCAGCACTAAGCAGCTGACAGCTAGCTAGATAGAACACTGAATTTAACAACTGACTGGATCTACAGTTAGGAAATCTTTGGACCAGATGCGGCTCTCCTTATATGCCCGACAAGGGGGACACATACACCTAGAACTACGAAGATCTCATTTACAAAGTGCTTATAACCATCGGTCCTGGGTCAGAAGCTAAGCCTACAGAACTCGGAAAGCTTGCAGCGCGTTGTTCTCGTGAAGTGGGTACCCAGCACCCCAGCATCTCACTTTTACACTGGAGGCCTTGTCGCATGATGCCCCAGAGCAGCGAGCCGCAGTGATCGCAGAAGGTTGGCACTTTGTAGTTGTGGATGCTGAACTTGTGCGGGATGTTGATTCCGAACCTCTGTTCAGCAATCTATAAAAAAAGCAGAAGGACAAGAGCTAGGATGCTGTGCCAGCATCTTTTGTAGAAACTGTAACAGGAGCCCCCCAAACGCAACGTGTTACCATGACACCTGAGCTGGGGAGATTATTTCACTGTACTCAGGCTTTCCTCACCAGGCTGAGCACATTTTCTAATCAACAAGACTAAAAAGAAAGGGTGTAGTGGGCATTAGATCGTTCACCATTTTGGGAGATAAATAGGAATGAAAACCGTTTTTATCATCGTTTATATTCAGGCTGTATTTCTCTCTCTGCCAACTCCCTCATGCCCATGTCTATTTCCTAAACGCTTTTAACTGCAGGATTAAACAGGTCTCTTATAGACCATATACACTTGCCGTCAGCACAGGCTTTTCCAGATATCGTGTTGGTGGGGGCCTGGGGGAGAAGGCGGCACCCAGCGAGCACGGGACCACAGAAGGAATTCACTCCAAAGTGACATCCTAGCAGCTGTACTCAGCCCTCCCGGGCTGTGCCTGCCATTTGCATCTTACAGTCTGAGGGCACGGGTCCTGCATTCATCTCACAAACTGCTTCCAACAAATAATTAGAGTAGGTATATGCGCTACAGTCTACGTCACCATTTGAGGTGACAACAGATCCACACGGGACAAGAAGTGGGGTAGTTATGACTCCTCTTGGAACTTTGCTGGTCTCTTTCTCATAAAGAAAGAGAAAGTGGCTCATACCTCTGCAAGTACTCTTTAGCAATCCTTTCTGTGTACAGTAAGCAATCGCTGAGCTCAAAGTCAGACTCCCCGATGCATCTGTAAACCCGCGGCTCATTGTCAGCAATACTCCAGCTGCTTTCTATCTCCACAATTTAGAATGTGCCCACCCCAGCTGAATGCAGTGCCAGTGACGAGGATGAGATTCAAGCATTTATACATAGCAGTGCCTCCTCCTGGAAATTTTGGAAGACACCGGAGAAGGCTAATAGTCACCTTATTGAGGAAGCACAATTTACAGTTAACAAATACTTGTCACATCAATTCTACCTTGTGGAAGCCTCACAAAAAAAGCACGTGAAGGAAATATGAATCCCATTTTAAGACTGAGGCTGAAAAAAGAAAAAAGACTCAGGCTGACAGAGAAGCTAGCTAGCAGAGGCTGGATTCTGCATTCAAATCCTAGTTGTTCGATGCCAAACTCAGGGACGTTTTCAGTCTTGCAAAACTCTCTCCAAATTAGAAAAACTGATGCTGAGAGCTTGTAACCAGCTGATCATTCATGGGATCAACTGAAGGACAGGTCATGCTACAGAAATAAAAACAGCATACTATAAAAAGGAGAGAAAATTCAATTCTGATACCACCATTCACTTCAAGGAGTGCGGAAGGGAGGTGGAAAGGGGATGGAGCAAGAAAAGAGAGAGAGAGAAGTGCGCACATGAGCTTGTGCAGGCCCTTAATTAGCAAGCTTCTATCTTCTTACCTTTGAATCCATTTTGTTAATATTGTTCTGGCAAGTGCAGGCTGTAACAATCAGATGATGGCAGCGCTTATGGACGACACAGGTGCACACTAGAGAATCAAATGCATGATTATACATTTCTAGGAGGATCACGGTCTGCCGTTCTAGTAGAGTCAACAAGGGCTGCTCCGTGCCAAGGTGACTTGATTTGGGGGTCTGGCCCACACGATGGCATCCAATGCACCCATCCTTCCCACGGTCATTACCATCACCCTAACTCATGCCTTTGCTCACACCCAAACTATTCACACTCAAGTCTTGAGCCCACTTCATCCTTCCTGGCTTTCCCCCTGCCTGCACCCACCTCCACAGGAATCCTCCTCTCTTGGTGTAATTCTGGTCACCTTGCCCCACGATCTAAACCTTCAATGGCATTTCACTGCCGATGAGTCAAGTTCAAATTTCCCAGCCAGGTTTCAGGCCCTCCAGAAGCTACCCCCAGCTTACCTGTTACCTTTCTTCGAGGGGAGCTCTTTGTTCCAATAAAAACTAGACGGGTTGCTCTTCCTGGAGCAAGCCTTCATTCACCCTCGCCCGCACACTGACCATGTCTTGCTCAATCCCTAGGAGATCCTTGTTGCCTATCACCTAACTACATCTTAAGTTTATAATAAGACACAACTTGAGAAATGTCTCTTCCGTGAAAACATATGACCCCTGGCTCCCCTTCTAGATTAAACCATCTCTCTCCTCGGATCTCTTACAACTCTTAGCCTTACCCCTGCCCTTGCATTTCAAACCTTCCACAGTAGCCTCTAATGCCCTCAGAATTCCCAGGCAGCATGATGCCTTGAACAAGATAGGCACTCATTAAATTTTTGCAGAATGACTCAATCAATTGTTTGAATACTTAGAACTTCCAAATAACATTTTTCCCCCATTTTCATCTGGATAACTGACATAGTGCAGACAGAGTCCAGTTTACCATTAAAAGGTGAACAAGTATAATGAAGCATATGAAAGTATATGTTATTTTTAAGATCTTTCAAGACATGTGGAGGTTTTTAAGATTAACTACATAAACACGAATGACATGTTAGCAAATAGTAATATATTTTAAAACAAATCTAGCTTGCATCAGACTGAATTTGAAGGAGAACCAAATTGAAAGTTCCCAGAGAATCAGTCTTTTTATATGAGGGAAACTCAAAACCATCCCTCACACAGAAAAACCTTATATTCTGAAGCATCTGAGGTTTGCTTGTTTTTTCCATTTGCTTGGCTAGAGCTTTATCAATTTTATTGATCTTTTTAAAGAACCAGTTTTTTATTTGGTAGATTTTCTCTATTGTTTTCCTAATTTCAATTTTACTGATTTATGCTTTATTTCTTTTCTTCTGCTCCCTTTAAGCTTCTCTCCTTTTTCTAGTTTCCTTAAAGATGAAAACTGAGATTACTGATTTTAGATCCTTCTTTTCTAATATATGCATTTAATGCTATAAATTTTCCTGTGAGTACTGCCTTTGCTGAATCCCACAAATTTTGATAAGATGTATTTTCATTTTCATTTGGTCTGAAATATTTATTATTTTCTCTTGAGTCTTCTTTTACCCGTGTGTTATTTCAAATGTGTTGTTTAATCTCTAAATATTTGGGGGGCTTTCCAGCTATCTTTCTGTTATTCATATGTAGTTGAATTCCACTGTGGTCTGAAAAGATACTTTTTATGATTTCTATTATTTTTTATGACTTCTATTCTTTTAAATTTGTTAAGGCTTATTTCACATGCCAGAATGTGGTCTATCTTGATAAATATTCCTTGTGAGCTTGAGAAGGATGTATATCCTGCTATGGCTAAGTGGAGTAGTCTATAAATGTCAATTTGATCAAACTGTGGATATCCTTACAGATTTTCTGCCTGCTGGACATATCAGTTACTAAGATATTGAAGTCTCTAACTATAACAGTGAATTTGTCTGTATATCCTTGCAGTTCTATCAGTTTTTGCTTCATGTACTTTGATGCCCCGTTGTTAGGTGCCTACATGTTAAGGATCATTAGGTCTTCTTGAAAAACTGACCCCTTTATCATTACATAATGCCTCTCCTTAGACCTGATAATTATCTTTGTTCTGAAGTCTGCCTTGTCTACTCAGTTTTGATTAGCGTTGGCATGGTATATACCCTTCTCAAACTGGGTATTTGGTTTTATGTCCCTTAACAAGATGTGAACATATCCTGACCAATGTTCTTTCTTGTTCTTTCAACAACAGGTGGCCCCCTGAAAATCAGCCCATCAAACATCCTGGCACTATGCATAAGATGAACCAGGGTTGACCACAAGGCATGTCCCTGTGCTGGACAGGTGCTAAAAAGTGACATCAACTCTCACCTGTGAACTATGTTCTCATTTGGGGCTGACATTAATAGCACAAAGTCAATTATTGTTGTCATATTGATTATACATTCTTTTTCTAAATTTGAGAACTCAGTAGAATTGCTCATACATGTAAAAATGAAAATTATATCCAAGAGTATGTCCTATTCCATTCTAAGGGAAATAATGTTCTGCCTCACCTTCTCCAGAAGAGAAGGCAGGATTTCCTTACTGACATGGAGGCTACCACTCCAGGACATGTAAGTGCTATTTTACCAATCATCTGTAGAGTGCACATCAAGAAGACAGGTACCCTATGTATAAACTGTGTGATGATGCTCAAACCAACAACAAGGGTGGCCCAAATAAAAGACAAACCAATCCAGTCTAGTTAAGTCTGAGTAAGAGCCTTCTTTCACTCCTCCCATTTGGAACACTAGTAAGTTGGTTTTATCTTAGAATTGTGAAAATCAAAATAAATTTAATGCATAATAACTACAAGATCATTAACAGATTAACTTTGAACATTTCTCACATTTTTTTAAATTAGAAAATCAAAAAGCAACTGAGATAATAGCTTCTATTCCCTATGCAGGTTAAGAGACAACACTGTGCCATTTCTTACCCCTATTAACAACGGGGTTGTAAAAGATAAAAATTTAGCTTCAAGATTTATAGGTACCGCTCACACAATGGCGTAACCTTTCACTATTTTCATGTTATTGCAGAAACAAAACTTTAAACAATTAAACTTTATTAGGTAACTCGGCTTTAGAAATAAAAATGTCTCCTCTATGCTGTCTAAAACGTAGCCAAAATTTAAACCACAACTAAAAAAGTTGCAATTCTATAGGGGTCTCATTTGACTTACAGAGTTATTTATCACAATATTAATGAAATGTATCCTGTGTCTTCTTAGGGAACAATATTAAACATAGTTTTTAAAATGTTTTCTTACCTTGACATTGATAACCTTGTTTCCCAAATACTCCCCTGTTCAAGACAATAGAGAAAAAGTTATCATCAGTCTATTTCAGCAACAATGCTCCTACAATCATAGTACTTAAGGAAAACAAATGTATGCCATCCTCTGTACCTTTATGAAAAACATAATTTCAGAGAAGAAGCAAAGATGAAGTGATATCTGAGCCCCTGTTTGTTACCACAAGACACAGAGGAAGTCACCTGATGATCAGAATCCTCTAGTGATATACACAGGTGGGTACTGGTGATCCTCATTCTGCCCACCTCGCTCTGTGGCAAACCCCAGGTCCTCATCTGGTCATGTGACTGAGCCTCAGCCTGAAGGGTCACTCCACCACCTTTGCTGGCCTTCTCACTCACATACACATAAAGATGCGCAGGTAGTGAAGTAAACAGATCAGTCCACCGCAGCCGCCTGGCCTGAGGCACCCTCCCTCTTCCCTGTGCCTCCATCACCCCTGGAGTCCAGGGGGTAGGGCAGAAATGCAGCCACAAGATGCCTGTCAAGCCCACAGCTATCATCTTGGTCTCTCCCTAGTATGTTCTCTGGGCGATGATGACATTATCCTCATTCTCATTTAACACAGGCCACATTTTATTAAGCCCGGAGGCTGTGCCAGGCACTGAGCCAAGCTGCTGTCGTTCAGCATCTCACCGAATCCTCACAAAAGTCATGTAGGGTAGCACGCATAATAGGAAGGCTCAGAGCACAGACTCTGAAACCAGATGGCCTGGGCATGATTGGGGCACATCACTAATTCCTTTGAGCCATAGTTTCTTCATCTATAGAGGGAAATAATGACCACAGTACCTACTTCATAGGGTTGTGATGAAGATAGAGAGAGGTGATAATGTAAAACGCTTAGGATAGTGCCTAGAACTTTAAGTTCTACATAAAACTTTGATATAAGCAAAATAAAATTATCTTTATTTTACAAATAAGGAGACACTGATGGACTATATAATTTATTTAGGTTCACACATCTAGTTGGTGATGAGATTGAATGCCAGAGTCCATACTGTTAACCATATATATGTAACACATACATTAATACTGTGCCTGTGTGTGTGTGTGCCTGTGTGTGTGTGTGTGTGCACAAAAGAGAGAGAGAGAGAGAGAGACGAGCGCGGGAAAGTGAAGGCTGGTTGAGTGGGAGTTGTTTCCTTGGTGGAAAAAATTTAGTGAAATTATCAAACAACTTTCCACTGAGAACGTTGGTTGAGGTCACAGGTTGTCACCACCAATGCCCACAGGGCAGGCAGGTTACATAGAGGAGGGAAGCAGAATGGTGTGACTTGAAATAAAGAGCAGCAGACCTTTCAAGTCAGGAAAACCACAAGGAGAGAAGTGGACGGCAACTAACTAGACAGTACAGATGACCACAAGGGTGGAAAATGGGCTCAAAGATGCCAGAGCTTTTCCATTGTTCAATAGAAAATTCAGCAGGAACTTGTTTCTGAAGACTAGAGTTGTGATGGCATATTTATCGGCATATCGACAGCCAGTTTAGGGTCGTTGGTTTAGACAAGACTCTATTCTTAATTTAAAATGCCAGAAACACTAACCCTGGATTCTGACTGCTAAAAGGTAGCAGGTACTTTTAAACCAAAGTAATGACAAAAAAAAACAACAACAAAAAACTCATTGATCAATACTCAAAAAAAGTTACTCTGAGCCAAGTGCTTTTGACTTAAACAAAATTACTAAAGTTTGCAATAAAAACAAGGATTTCCTTTTATGCTTTAGATACTAAACTGTCTTTTCTCCCTCAGAGATGGGTATGGATGGGTATGGATGGGTATGGATGGGTACATGTTTGGGGTAGGTGAGGGGGCATTTCCTTCTTCTCTTTCCAAATAAATGTGTTTAATGTTGGCTGTAAATGAAGGTAACTATTAACTTAAATTTATTTTACATTATAGATTTGCCACTGAGGTTTCAGCTTCAGTCACATGTATAGTAAAATATTGCCCCAATTCATCTGGAAGTTCTCAACTATTAATTATCTCAATTCCTAAATGCCAAGGATTATAGTATGCAATAGCTGAAAGTTTTACCTTTGGCCACATAATATAAGGCTGAAGATTACTGTGTGCTTACTTTACTTACAACAACTAATTTCTTTTTTTTTTTTATAGAAAAATCCTTTAATCAAAACAAGTTGACAATGTTGACACTTATGGCTTAACTAGAATAAGTCTGTCCAAATTTAAATTGTATTAAGGACCAGATATAATGTAGTATCAATAGTTCCCTCAAAACAGTAGGTCCCAGTTCCATTGTAAGACCTCTCAAAAAGCAAAACTCCAATTACTGAAATAATTCAAACTATTCATTTATAGATGAAAACCATTATCTATCTGAGAGGTCAAAACATACAATGCATGTCACATGCAAACACTGGTATTAAGCCTGTTCTCCGTATTCATATTTTCAAAACATGAGAAGTCTTTTAGCTACTGAAACCACCAACTGACCTAATAATCAAAATATCTTAAAAATGCTGTTAAGTTACCCTTAAATTTTGTTAACCTTGGTTTACCCTGATTTAGTCCATATATATGAATATACAGACTACCAAAGTACTCCTTTACTTTATCTAACTGCCTCAGTGCAACATATATTTTCTACTTACAATTCTGTCACATGGAGGATCTCTAAGAATCCCCTTCTGATAGAGCCATGTTTTCAAACAGGTTAGTTTTTCTTATATAGCATTTACTTCTACTATTTACTGCATAAGAATCATGGAATTTTTTTTCCCAATTAAAAAAATACTTAGTGACTTCCTTAATGAGTGTGACTTTTTAAAAATTCAGAAACGCGAGACAGTTCTCAAAAATAAACTTTTATCATTTAGTTTTTAGTTTCAGCTACTAGTGCCTGTAAAGGATCTCAGATGACAACAACTAATTTCTATAAATCATCATTTGAGTCATACTTTTTTAAAGCAATACTGTTGTTTTTTCTCTCTTACTCAGTGGCCGATTATTCAATTTATTGATTATCTATATATTGATTGGTTAGCCTAATTAGTGCTTTATAGCCAGTTCATGATTCATTATTAGCACCTTTCCCCAAACGACTGGAAAAAGAAATAACATGTAAACCTTGGATCCGTAAATTGTTTAGATTTTTTTCATTGGGAATTCAAATTACTGGGTCAACATATTAGAATAAAAGGCAAAAATCAGATCCTAAAACAACTCTTCAGAATTATGCTTCTTTCTGAAACCACACACAACCAGAGGAGGCCTTGATTATAGAAAGAAGCTACAAGGAAGAGAAAAGCCAAGGAACCTCTTACCAGATAAACTCCCTGCAGTGAGAGCAGTAGGTGGGCTGCCTCAGGTATGTGGCCATAAACTTGTGTCCATTGATCTGGTGGACTCGCCTTCGCATAGCCCTTTGGCGCTTCCTGGTAAAATGTTTGAAGATTCGGTCTCTCTGGAGAGTGGCTGTACAACAAAAGAAAGGAAAAAAGAATAACGTGCACTGAAGCTAGCCGTATCTAATGTATGAGAAAGTGTCATAGCTCAAATACTCTCCAAATTGTTTCTTCTTTCTTTAAGATGCAAAACACCCCAGAACCTCATCATGCTTCCTAGTAACCTTAGGACTTAGTTTGAGAGGGTTGGATCTAAGTGAACTCTGAGATTCCCCACTGCCTGATTATAGCTGGCTATCTTGGACCAGTCTCCCCAGCACAGACCATGGGTCCCCCAGGGTTCTAATGTTCCAGTAGAGGGGACATCAGCCTGGCCTTCTAGCTCCTGTTCCCCTGGGTGGACCTCAGGGCCATCAACTGGCTAGAACTACTAGCGGGTAAAACAGATCTCTCATTATTTGCCTTTTGTTCTGGCATCCTCACAAACAGAAGGAGGGAATGGCCACAGCACAGTGACAACATCACCCAAAAGCATCAGTCCCAAAACTGTCTCTGGAATGGGTAGAAATTCACCTGGACATAACGCAAGGTTCCTTTTCCACCTTCACATTTTTAAAAATCGTGGCTCCTAGTCTGAAGAATCAAAACTGGGCATTATCAAAAGTCAGTCAATTATGTCTTCCAGATAATTATACTAGAAATTTCCCAAGGTATACAGAGACTTATGATTAATAAAATAAAGATTACTTCTTTGATAATGCTTTGCAATTAATCACTTCAATGCAAAGAAAATTTAAGAAATAATGCAAGGATAATCTGCTAATAAATTTTAAAACCTGGAATATGCCCAATATTGTGCTCCTGGGAAAACTGCCACCTGTTCACAGTCGGTTTTTCTTTTAAGATAATGCTGAATAGTATCAGGTCACCTGGGTGGCTCAGTCGGGTAGGTGTCTGAGTGGATTTTGGCTCAGGTCATGATCTCAGGGTTATGAGAAACAACAAAATGCATTCAATAAACATTTTCATAATTTTAATGCTTTGTCAAACTGCTTACCCCACTTTTTAAATATTAACAAAATTTAGTCCTCATTTTGAAGAATTCATTTTATGTGGATTTTTCTCAGTAGCAATGACACTCAGATAACCAGGAAATTCTATACTATTCAGCATTATCTTTTGCGGGGGGAAGGGGCAGAGGGAGAGGGAGAGAAAATCCTAAGCAGACTCCACACCCAGCACGGAGCCAGATGCAAGGCTCAATCTCATAACCCTGAGCACAACAATGGGCATATTATTAGAAAACCTATTATATTTTATTCTATTAACAGGTAAAAGAAAGTAACTATGATAATTTCGATATATGTTTAAAAGTCACTTGATAAAGTTTAACTTGAAATCCAATAAAGAACTTTTTGAAAAGAGTAAAAGATTGTCTCCTCAACAAGACTAAAACATTATGCTCACAGGTCAAAAGATAAATGGTAAATTAAAAAAAAATAATTAATCCCATGAAAGTTAAGAACAAGTAAGACCAATTATCACCTCTATTGCTTACTATTATTCTGAAAGTACTTGCCAAAGCTGTTAGAGATGAAAACAAAATAAAGGATAAAGCTATGGGAGGGGCAGGGGTAAGGAGGCAAAGATACCATGATTTGGATATGTTCAATACATGACTAGAAAACTCAGGAGAAGTTAGCCTAATCTACTAAAAACAGAGTTCAGTAAGATGGACAATGGTAAATCATTAAAAGTCAACAGGTCTTAAATACATCAAAGGAACCGTTTAGAATATATAATAAACGTATATCCCCATTCATAAAGCTAGAAAACCCAAACTAGGAATACTTTATCAGAAGTGGTGCAAGACTTATATGAAGGAAACTATAAACCCCAACTGAAGAATATGAAAAGATACATAAAAATGAACTTCTTAAATAGAAAGACTTATTAATACTACTAAGTTGTCAATTCTTTCTAAACTAAATTCAACAAAATCCCAATAAATATCCCCAAAGGAGGTCTTTAAACTAAACCTGACAACTTTTTCAAAGTTAATGTGGCACCATAAATATTGAAAAACTGTCCAAAAATTCTAATGAGGGAAGGAAGACTTGTTCTACATGATAAAACATAAAGTTATAGTGACCAAAACAGCATGCTACCACCTCAAGAAGAATCCAAACCTAGAAATCAATTCTGCTTAGAGAGAACAAGGCTCAAATCAGTGGTAAATGATAGATTATTAATAAATAGTGTTTAGACAACTAGTTAGCCTTTTAGAAAATATCTTTACCTCACTCCTTACACCAAAATAATCTCAGGTAAATGTTAAGGGGAAGTTATGAAAAAATAGGGAAAAAATATATACTCCTAGGATGGGATAAGGGTAACAATAGTCTAATGCCATAAAAGACTCAGATTTGCAATTTAAGAAATTTAAAGTTCTATTTGGCAAAAGACACAAAACAGAAAGTTAAACAAAACAAACTGGGAGAAAAAGGACTTGCAACACACGACAAAGGGTTACTATTTATAATATGTAGAAATTAATAATAAAAAGGGATGAACAATCTAGTAAAAATGGGACAGAGGAGGCAAATTGGCAATTCATAAAACTATAAATGCAGACAGACAATAAACACACCAGATGTCCAATCCTATCCTAGATGGACACATAAGAAGGAGGTAAATGACATTTTATTTCAATTGGGAAATATTTATAAGGACTGCTAATATGCCTATGCTTACAAGGGAATGGGGAAATAGGCACCTCCACTCTCTGCTGTTAGGAGTGTAACTAGTCTGCAGTCCTGGTTCTGCCACCTTCTGGCTGTGTTTACCCTGCTAAACCTCAGTGTTCCCATCCATAAAGTGGGTAGTGCTTTCCTCAAAGGGTTTTTCCAAGGACTGAAGGAGGTAATGCAATGAAAGTGTTCAGCACAGAGTTAGGCCCGTGGTAGCATTCAACACATGTAGCTATTTCAAGAATATTTTTTTTGGAGACCATCTGACAATATCTGTCAAAGTTGTAAATCTACATTTCCTTTCATTCAGTAATTCAGTTTCTACGATTGTTTTTGTCTATAAAAACGCTAGGAAGAATATATGCTATATAGATATCAATTACTACTTTCTATTTAACAGTAAAAATTAGGGTTTACATAAGAAATCTCAAAGAATGAAATGCAGAAATAGAGAAAATGAATTTGGTTAAGACACTGATGCTTTCAGAGGCTCTGGCAGTTAAAATTGTACCTGCTTCAGAAGACATGAACAGACATTTTTCCAAAGAAGACATAGAAATGGCCAACAGACACATGAAAAAGTGCTGAAAATTGCTCGGCATCAGGGAAATCCAAATCAAAACCTCAATGAGATACCACCTCACACCAGTCAGAATGGCTAAAATGAACAAG